GTTGTTGCTTCGCGGCTGGACGACAGCCACCTGATCTCCCTCGCGTGATGCTAAGGTGGCTGCCGGGTCTTCCACAATGTTGTCCGGTTGGACTGCAGGGACTTGCTGCAGACGCGGGCCAAATTTTCCTTTCTCCACATGGACTGGCTGCCATGCCGACTTCTCGTGTGCAGCAGTCCGGTTGGTCTTGATGATCTCTCGCGCCTCGTCGATGATTTCGGCGAAGGTTGTGTATTGCTCGCGATCACCGAGTCCGAGGCTCAAGGCGGCACACGACCGGTCGTAGAACTCCCGATGCAAATGCGAAAATGGCAAGCCAAGATCGGGTGTTGCCACGATCTTTTGCCACTCAATGAGCCAGTCACGTGTTGGTGTGTTGCCTTTAGTCATGCTGAAGAGGCGGTTGATGGCGAGCATTGGGGCGTCGTCAACGATGAATCGCTTCTTCCATTGTCTCGTCAGATCTTCCTAAGAGATCTTCTTGTGTAGATCGGCGACCTGGACGCCCTGGATGGTTGCCAGGTGGCTGAGAAAGATCTGGCATCCGCCCTTTGAGTTGAGGAACACACCGATGCACGAGTGCTCGGGGACAAAATGAATCCGCAGTTCCGTCGTAAAGCCCTCCCACCAGGGGACCGGGTCTTGATGCGTATAGTCATCAAACTTTTCGATCCAGAATATCGGCATCTTGTACTGCTGCGCACTGGTGTTGCCATCCTTGTTGGGCAGCTGGTGCAGTTGTCGAACCTCGGTTTTCAAGGTGTCCAGCTGCTCGCTGATGGTGGCTGGTGCGTCGAAGGTGCTGTCGCCGAGCATTGCGACCACATGGTCAACTCGTTCCTCCAACTGGCGGGTTGATGCTGCATTGATGGGTTCCCCAGCGTCTGGTCTTGGTGCTGCTTGCTCCAAGTCTTGTACACGGGAATCAAGTGCCCGTGTAGCACCCTCGTGCAGATCCTTGTGGTTCCGCACTGCCCGTCGGAGGTTCTCCAGTAACTCGGACTGCAGGTGGTTACAAGTGTAAACCAACCAACGAGTTCGGACAGGAACTCCTTGTGCTCTTCCGATGTTGCGTCGTCATGGTCCTTGGATGGTTCGAAATGCCAGAACTTGAGCTTGTCGATGCTGGTGGCTTCGTGCCACTGCAGCAGATCCTGAGCCTCCTTGCGGCGGGTCTAGGTGTCTGCGTCAGCTGCGGCCTGAAGCCGCTGTTTGTCGGCTTCTGCCTCTGCTTCATCCTGTAGGCGGGCAGCCTCGGCTGCCGCCTGGCGCTGTACCTCAGCCTCGATCAGTGCAAGATGAGCTAGAACCCTCTGTCGGTACTCGTCCATGGACTTGTTGGCCAATTGGCCTGGCATGCCCAAAGCTGAAACCGTCATGGTGGCAGGGCACTAGTGATGCCGCACTGCTGACGTGACACTGTTAACGTGGCACTGGTGACGTGGCACTGTTGCTGACGTGGCACCGTTGCTGTCGTGGCACTGCTGACGTGGCACTTACCAAAACCGGGAATGCAGGCAAAGGGTTGGGTGGGAGGGAAACGCAAAAAGGTAACCAACCAAACTGTACTTTCCTCCCGGTCCTAATCAACAAAATAACGATACAGAGAACATTAGCATGGCCCCTGCGCAAGGATGACACACATAAATCGAGAAAAATAAAAGAAGAGGATCACCCCCCTCTTTCTTTTCCTTTTTTGTTGTATATCTGTCGATCTGCTATGAGTGAGGCATTTCCGAGGAGTATTATGAGCGAGATCTAGGCAAGGTTTCGCAAAGATTCGGCTTTCAAAAAAATGCGATCTTGATTTATTTTTTTGCGCGAAATAGACTGGAGGTTCCACTTTCAGAGAAGTGCGAGGCTACGCCCGCTTAGCCCCTACGGGGCCCTATCTGCAACAAGGTCGGCCGCCCTAAGTGAAGGCAGGCACGACAGGCCCTTCGGGCCTCATTCTTCAGGGTACCCCGCAACGGCGAAATTCAGACAGTTGCGTTGCGCCAGTTGGTTGAATGAATCCAGGCCCTGGGCGGCCTGTGTAAATGAATGTGAAGCAGGCCCTGGGCTGGATACGGGTACCGGGCCAAACACAGGCCGAAAGCAGTTGGGCGCATGCAACCACTTCAGGCCCAAGGCCTGCTCTCTTCGTGACTGGGCCTGTGCCTACCGGGGCCTACCGGAAGCTTCTTGGACTGGACGCAGGCAGGCCACTTGGATATAGGGAAGGGCCTGCCTCCTCATTCGGTATTCGGGTGCTGGCTGCATGCTGCGTGAGCGCTGCTGCGCAACGCACTGGCTGGCTGGCACTCACACTCTCACGGGCGAGTAGGAGGGAGCACGCAGCCATAGCCAAGCTGCGCTGCTGTATGCTAGGTGAAGCGCAGGGTGGTCCTTGGGGTGCTAGTGGCATCTGTGCGGTGTGGATCGGGGTTGTGAGTGTTACGAGAGACATACCTGGTGCTGAAGCGTGCGACATTGGTCGCCATATGCTCGTACTTCGGGAACGCTGTTGATGTCATCATTCTGCTTCGTAGTATAGGTTAGATAGGATCTGCCACCTGTAGTCTGGGCGCCGAGCGCCAATAGGATATCCACTCTGGTTCGTAGTTGATGATGATGGGACTACTTCAGCATTGTCCATTTTTAACTCTTGGTGTGTTCTTATTTGGTGTATCTCGTGATGCCAGTCTGCTKTGGTTCGAGGTCAAGACTATCTGGGCTCATATGTATGATGCTGTTTGATTGCTGAAGTTCGCTAATGCTCATCTTCCTTGCAGAAGAATAGATCCAGTCCGAGAATATGGCAACCTCCCTAGTTCACCTAATATGCCCAGAGCAAAACAGAAAACAAAATGCTAATATCCGAAGTTGCGAAAAAAAGAAAAAATTTTGCAGAGATTTGACGAAGTCCTACTTGATTCACTAATAATCAATCGATCAATCAATCAATCAATCAATCAATCAATCAATCAATCATTCAACAATCAGTCGATCAAGCAAGCTGGCTTCTTGATTGGGCGGATCCTCTGATTGAGAGGTCCGCTCCGATACCAAACTGTCGCATACCGTAACGATACAGACCAGAACAAGAACCGACCTCTCTCACATAGTACAAGATAGCGCAGCGGAAGGCTAAAATACCAATGATCCGAACAATCAATGTCGCAATGCAGACCAAACATACATCATCATCCTTCCATGGTGTGAAGGGGCCTGGCGCTCACACAGGAAGAATGCACCAGTCCCCAACGATACACAGACGAAGAAGAGGGGGCTTAGATAAAGAAGAGGGGAATATGGGAATGTCGTCCACACCAAGTCTTCGGTACAGGTCCCAAATAATCCCTCGTTCAATGTCTCAATCCCAATGTCGAGTCTGGATCCAAATGTCGTTGAGTCCCAAAGTCACCAAGCTCTCTCTCTCTCTCTCTCTCTCTCTCTCTCTCTCTCTCTCTCTCGTAGTCCGCAGATACTGAGAAGTCAGGTAGCGAGAGGGTGAGGGAGAGATGGACTTCGAAGAGGATGAAGAAGAACTCTCTCTCTCTCTCTCTCTCTC